CATGAGCACCCTTAACCTAGTATTTGCAGTATCTGCAGCTTTGATAATTTGTTGATTCATTGTTATCAGCGTTATGAAATAAACTGCACCGAACACAATAATATCACACTCAATAATTGATAAATCAAAATCACTATCAGTTTAATAACGCAATGTGTATTTGAAAAGTTTATCAGATCTACAGATGCACCCGTACTAACAAAAAAGTGCATATGTGCGTCCCAAGCTTCAGCCCTCAGGTGCGAAGAGGCCGGAGTGGGAGCCGCCGTGACCGAGACAAATCGGTTCACCCTCCCATAAAAAGTTATCACTTCAATAAATAGCGACATTTTTTTCCAAGTTTCTGTAGTCCGGAAAAGGACCGATTTTGCAGAAAAAACCCGCATTTACCAATAAAAATTGACGGACTCGAGCTTGTGCCAAAAAACCCATCGCTGAATTTTAAATAAATTCAGCTGTTACTTCCGGGACTTACTGTATATTTTAGAAGGATAAGACTGATAAATTTACTAAATTAAAAGGTGAACTTAAACCCAAAACATTTCGGGACATTTCACAGCAAGCTCAAGATAGGGTTTCGAGATCACTTCTGTTTGGCAACGCTAATAATAACGAGAATGTTGCAACCCAAAGTTCCCAGTGTGTCATTCATGATTCGAATTGATGAATCAGAACTGAAAAATGATGAAATCAACTTGAGATTGATGGGCAGAAAAAGCGAGAAATGTGATGAGTTTTTCAGGTTCACTCGCTCACCGCAAAGCCTCTTATCTTGTTCATGCTATTTCAACTTTCCCAAAAATCCCAGCTCTTTATATTTTTGTCCACAATCTTTCGATTGATCCGTTTGATCTGTTTGCATGTTTGAACTTTGGGCATTGTTGATAATCCTTTCAAGTGCAAATCGATGCCCAAAGAAAGCACAAAACATGCACCGTTATAATTTACAAAGGTCTTATAGACAAACAAAAAGAAGGATTGGCTTTGTGTTTGGATGGAAGTATTCATAAAGGAATGGGCCCGGCCTTACCTTTCGGGTCACAACTGGTTGGAGATGTGCACTTGCAGTCGACAAATTAACGAAAAAAATCCAAATCCGTTATGCGAAGATCAGGGAGGTTAATCGAGCTATTTATGCGCGTAAAAGGAGTGTTTTATCGGCCAATCAAAGCTTGATTACGCTCATCAATAGTGTCTTAGCAGCTTTATTGAAAATATTCAATTATCACCAGTTAAGGTAGTAGTAAGTAAATCGTTGCTTACCTTAGTTTCACATCCATTATTCGCTTTGAGGCAGAGCTTGACGTTGCACTGATAGTAAACGGAGGCAATATAAGGAAACTTGTGCGCCTTAAAATGAACCTCTGCCCGATTATTGTCTTCGGAATACTTGAACATTCCCATTATCTCCTGATCGGTTGGGCAGCCTTCTGAGTCGATCAGTTTCTGTTCGCCCCAGCCAAGACCGTCTGAAAAAAGTGAAAAACGTTTCGATACATTTCCGGAGACAAAGCAAGAAAACGTTTTACCTTAAGAACCTTAAAGTAGAGCAATTACTTAAAAGAAAAAACACATAACTTAAAAGTTCATTAATTGTTTTATTGTCTATATTGTAATTTACTATCAGCAGGAGGAATCAATTCGTTAATTTCGTCAAAAAAGCTTTTAAATCAATTTAATGAACAAAATTTTAATCGCTTCATAATTTTTATACTTTTCATAGCATAAAAATTTTTCATACTTTCTGTTCTACTGAGCTTAGGTTTTGTTTAATTTTGAAAGGTTTTTTAAAATTATTTTTGGTTTTACGCGAAATTATTCTTGTTCCTCCGGTCGATTTTGAGTTGTTTTATGTATACTGGAAATGGACAAGCTTTAAAACGTTTTTTTGGTCTAATTGAAAAATGAAAACATTTTGAAAGAACAAGTTTTTCGACATCAGTTAACACTTTATTAGAGAAATTTGTTTTTGGCACAAATTTTTTGATATTCAAGATTTTTTGTTGACTTTTTCGTTAAGCTAATTTTTCAAATTGAATGTTTTGAATTTGTTTTCGAATAATAAAATATCTCTCCATGATAAGTGATGAAGATTAAAGTCGTAAAAGGCGATTTTGTTGCGGACATTTTCTTTTGTAATTAAACGATTTAAGGAGATTAATGAGAGGCAGCTGATCCAACGGAGATCGGGCTCTTACCAAATCTCACCATCCCCAAAAGAGGTAATTTTTCACCTCCAAAATAAACTACAACTGGATTTCCAACTAATGGTGAAATATTTACTATTATTCGTATAAAAGATGATTTAATGTTGTTTTTCACTTGCTTATAATGCGAAATCTACTTCGTATTTTCAAGAGGTTCATCAGAAAAATTATTTGCTTTTTGAGCCACAAACAATAATTTCATGCAATCACAAAAAGATGACGATCGATTCTACATCCCAAATTTTGATTTTCTATGGCACAAGGGCGCAATTGGAAAAAAAAATTGCATCATTTAATTCCAGTTGTGTTCTGTGCTCTTCTGTCAGCGGCTATGTTGCCTTATAGTTGATGTACTTGCATCAGAATCAACAGAATAAAATTCTATTGCTGCATACTTGAATTTCAGCATTAATTTCAATTGTTTGCAAATGAGGATGCGCTTACCCCATCTTACCTTATTTTTTTTTTAAGCGAACCACTTAGACTTTATCCTGTATCTTCATTAAACTAATGCCCGATTCCAACTAGAATGGCATGATTTGCCATTTCCAGCTTTTTTTTTGGAAAATTCGAAGGGTTTTTCCACTACCTTTAACTACACAGTCTGCCACTTGAATTCCGTAGAGGTCCTGGGAATCAATCGAAACAACCAGACTGAGAGGATCGCCGATTTTTACATTTTCCGCAACAAGATGATCGGATGGCTCGCCCGTGTAAATCTTCATGCTGCATCCGGGCATTGCTGCCATTGCTGTTACATGATCTTCCGGAGACGTTGTAGGACTGAAACAGAACAAAAAATAAATATTTTCGCTGCCTTTTCAATCCGTTTTTATCGACTTACTCCATTTTTAAGGCCTCATTATAAGCGGTGTTGTTTCGGGTCGTATACCGGCATCTGATGTGGAATCCTTTGCCTTGGTTGGTCACCAATTTCAAATGTGGCTGAACGACTATTGTATTGAAATATTCAATGCCGCCATCATCCTGAAACAATAAGACACACACTCAGTTTCCGAATAGTTAGTTGCCTTTGTTCTAGTAGTTTCTCGTTTATTTGCAATTTAGATTTTTCCTAAGGATAATGTGAGTGGTTGATGTCATTTCAGTCCAGCTGAATTCCATTCTCACTGGTCTATTCAACCGTTTTCCGTCACAGGATTTTTTTGCTGATGATCGTCTATCTCTCTTAATTTTTTCCATACGATGGAATAACTGTGGGTCATTTTTCATTTCATTTCAAGAGAAATTTGCTTTTTATAAACTCATTTCATCTTTAATTCATCGAAGTGGTTTCATTTCAATTACTCAGTCACTCTAGTATAACCAGTTACTCTATTTTTTCCTATCGAAAGATATTATAATAGAATACAGCTATAAGAAAGTATCGCAAAAATTTTTAAATTACAATAACCTGATTGAACCCAAAGTTTAATAATTTTAAATGGAATAGAAGGCATTTTATGATGCTGTAGCATCGACGGTAAAATAAATGTTAGATCTTTTAAGGCTTTTGCTTAAATATAACGGTTTTTGAGACGTTTGGTGTTTTGTAAAAATAAAGACTTTTTTAAACTAAAATTCTCAATATTAATGTGGAATTGCGAAACTAAACTCCAAAAAATATATGCAGATTTGTCACAGATTAATATGTTAAAATTATAAATGTTCCATTTGATTTGAATTTTTTCTTTGATAAGTAGGAAATGTAAGAAAAGTAAGAAAAAACGCCTGAAATGGATAGATGAATGAAGTCATGCAAATTTCATAAAAAAGCTGATACTCAGATATAGGAAACTTATAAAAATTATATAAATAGATAATTAAATGTTGTATCTGCTCGTGGCAAAAAATACAAGGTGTTCCATTTAATTTAAGCAAATTATTTCCGTTCAAAACGTGCAATTGCGTTTGACCACAATTTTGGGATACCATGTATGTGACGTGCTAATTTTTGATTAATTTGCCACTAAAATGCATCTGTGGGTAGCCGCAGTGCAGAATTTTTTCGAAATTCTAAATAAGTTTTAAACATTAGTTAAAGCACTAAAAAAATCGTGATTTTTACGAAACACCAAATATTTCAGAAACCGTAAGCTTAAAGCAAGGTAAACGTTCATAGACTGCATTGCACATTTATTTTCACCATTTTCGCCATTAATAGCACAATAATAGGCAGGATATTTCATTTAAAAAATGCAACTTTGGGTTTAATGTTTTAATTAAGACTGTGTATATTACGAAATATATTTAATTTACGCTCCCAGTATATCCAGAAAATGATAATCGAACTGTTTAGCAAATCAACTTTCTTTGTATAATAAACTGAACAATCCTGTATACCTACACATACAAAAATTGCCTGCTGCTGAAGAGTCAAAACACAAAAATAAACATTTGTGAAAGAAAACAAACAGGCACTTAAAAACTCCAACTAAAACTTAGTGTTTTTTCGGGAAAACTTGAGTATTATTATATTTTTTCACAGGAAAGTTATTTTTAGCAAAAATGAATCTTTCGGCATCTTCAGAGCCGTCAAAGGATATCTAGTACACAAAGTAGAAAAAGAGAAGCATTTTCAGGCTAATTACTGACTAAAAAATGGCTCCTAAGTAAAATTTACGTATTCGATGTGATTTTTAAATTATTTCTACAGAAATCGCTGACTAGTTATGTTGATTTCTTACGAAATGATTTTCTACTAGTTCCTAATAGTGCCTGAGATTACCACATCTCTAAATCTGCTACTGCTCCGACTAAATGTTTCCAGGTTATTAACAGATCAATTTTTCATTTTATTGACCAAGTGTCTCAGTTGGGTCAGATTTTTGCAAAAAAACCTACCTTTTCCTGAACAATTTATTACTTCAATTCGTATCATCTCGCATGCTATTTGAGCAAACCAGCCATTTCCATACCTGTTTGGCAAAAAGAATTAAATCGAACCTTGTTATATTTTGTGAACATCTGGCTTCTAACGTTTTATAATCGTTAGATGCATAAAATTTAGCGGCTCCGAGGCTTTATTGGAACTAGAAGAATTCGCAACAGATCCAGTTAGGTATGAATATTCAGCATGTGTGTCAGCAATTAATTTTCGAGCAATAAAACATAAGCATTCTGATAAAGATGCACGCAAGAGTAGGATCCCAGCCCATTTTGCAGATAAATGATAATCATAAATCCGCATGCAATTGGTGCTTAGAGATTCCCACATAATTCCATTGATCAGCTCATTTTTCCCGGTTAGAACCGTTAAGGCCGATAGAGAAAAATAAGCAAAGTTCCCACATTAGGAATGTATTAGCAATTAGGAGCTAGAGGAAGTAGGTATACGGTTATAATAGCCATAACTAAGACTAGGTATCTATACTTATAGGTTCAGTTCGAATAGAACAGCAGTATAATCGTTAAAGTAATGAATAAGGCACAAGTGGAGCCCGTATGTGTTTTCCATATACCAGGAATAATCCAAATAATTATCTTTATGTATAATAACGGGAAAACGGGCGAATGTAGGAGAAGTAGATGAGGTTTGTGTCCAATCAGCGAGTTTATCTATTTTTACTTTAAGATGTCAATAAAATAAAGCTGAACAGTTGTTTTGCATTTATATAATTTTTGATGATGGTCAGCTTAAAAAATCCACCAGCATAAGTTTCTTAATAACTTTTGAATGTTCTTTTGGTCTATTTTCACTTGCACAATTGAGACCAACTATCCAACCTAAATAGAGTCATTTTTAGGTTGCTTTCGTCTTTCTTATGTAATTTTGTGTTTCCTTTCGCTCAAATCGTACTCATTTTTTCACAATTGAAAAGTAATTAATTTGAGCCGGTGATCGAACGTAAATATTCAAGTATTTTCTTTATCAAGACCTCAAATAGTGCGTTAATTTCAAGTTATTTCTCTGTTTCTGATAATTCTCAAGCAACTGGAATGTTCATTTAATTTTGATTACTCGTTAAACTTTATTTATACTAAAAATGATTTTTTAGCCGGTTAAGTAGGCAAATGCATTTTTGAATTAGGAAAATTTACTACTTTTACGGACACTAACATCTTCATTATTAATTTTATTTATACTGTCTTCAAACCGTTTCTTTATATAAAAACAAAAATTTCAATTATTCATATCCTCTTAAAACCCATAACTTTTACTTGATTTAACGATTAAATTAAATATTTAAATATAATTAAAAATACATATTTAGTCTAATTATTTGGCATTCGTGTTGAAATAAGAAAAAACTGCCAAATCAGGCAAGTAAAGTGGACCAGTAGCATAACTTACCAACTCACTCTACAGTTGACTTATTATTTAATCTGGGCCACACGATCGTGCACTGTGCGCTACTTTAAACACCCGCGCCGCTCACCGCTTTCCCCTTATCATGCTAAAGAAGCGCCGTGTTTAAGTGGAGATTTAGCTGCCTTTCCCAGCACCAACTGCGCTATTGAGTGCAAGGTTAGTATCGGTTGTTTACGGTTGGTACGGCATTTTTATGCGACTTTTTAGTTCAATTTAAAAGCAATGATTATACAGAGTGGCTGCAGGATTTGATTTGTAGGTAATTATAAACAGTGAGCTGTGATTTTTTAAATACTTATTTGAAGAAATTACAGAATGAAACAAAAACGTCTTAGTGTAAGTAGAGGAAATAGTTAAAAACGTAAATTTAAAGCGACATTTATTTAAAAATAACCAAAATATAGAAAATTGATACTATTTTTGCACCCCAAACTTTGATTTCCGTACGATTGAAACTTTTCTGCTCCAGAAAATGGAATGTCTCTTTTCTAAGATCCCTCATCACAGATGGGAATTTAGTCAAAAACACTTACTCTAAGACCATCAAATCCAGTACATACGTTAAATAAAAATCGATGTTTTACTGCGTAACTTTTGTTCATTACCACAACCAGTTAAGCCCTGATTGAAACCTGATTGATATCAGATATACTTCTTTCATAATGAACTAAGTCCGGTTTTGACTAAATTCGAAATGGGGACCAACCCATGTTATTTAACTTGAACTGGTCGCAAATTGCCATTCACTTCTGAGGTGAGGGTATGTAAGAAATTTCATTAATATTTCCACACTCCTAATTTTCTAAGGTCTGTAAGCTAATATTAATGTTTTTATGTACTTTGCTCACACTTATTTGGACATCACAATAGCCGTATTCATTGGCTGGATGCTTGTGAAATTCTGTTAATAAGAGAGAATGAAGAAAATGGGATGCAAATATCACCGAGGCAAATTTTACTTTACTAATACTTATACCTAACAAAACAGTTATAAATACATATAATTGGAGTCTAATTTGAAACCTCCTTCCCATTAACTCAGCTGGAAATGGGAAAAAATCACTCCACCATATAGATAACCTTTAGAAGCAACGTCTCATCATCCGAGACATTAATGCCTAGTTAAATGAGCCAACAAGGAAACCATTATAGGTACATACAATGTATGATAATATTAATTATCGTTTACCAAACACATCATTCTTTAGGTGTATAAATACCAAAAACCTTATGATCGATTCGCACGTTTTTGACGACCTTCGACGATTGTTCGAAAGTAAAATTGTCTAATAAATAAAATCAGCAAAATCTATCGAGTTTTGTCGTCTCCCTTCCCACATGCGAGCCGCAATTTTGCGGCTTGGTTGAACGCTCTTTGTTCAAGTTTCCTTTTTGGAAAGGACACTTGAGGTTTTTTTCGCTTTGAGTGGGCCTGTAAACCCACCAAGTAGGAACTCGAACAAACGACTGTCTTCAATTTTTTGCTATCGATTTTTACATGTTATTTGCATGTTGTACATGAGTGGAGAAACGTAATAGTCGCGATTGTAAGGAGAAAATGGAGAAATATATGATAACGCTGGGGAAAGGTAAAGGAATTATACAATAAGGTGATTGAGGCGAAATACGATTGTCCCAAATGACTATTTGAAGCACAAGTACAGAGTGTACAGAT